GGGCAGTAGGGTCCCTGGAATCCCAGGATTGATACTGCCCTGGCTGAGGAGCAAGGTATGAAATTGAAGCAAGAGAGATTTAGGTTAGATATGGAGGAGAACTTTCCAGCTGCCCATGCTGGGAGATGTTGGGCTGTAATCCCAAGGGATAGGATGACTTTTCTTCCAATCTAGAGCTGGTTTGGAAAAAAAAGAGAAGCCAGCCAGTGTTCTGGGCTGGCCTTGTTGCAGCTGTGATCAGAAACAGGGATCTGGGTGGATGCCAACAGTCTGCCTCAGAACCTTTCATGGCTCCCAGCTGCTCTCACCCAGTGAAAACCCAAACCCCTCCCTGGAGCCCCTCATGGCTTGTACTCAGCTGGCTTCCCCGAGCTCAACTTGAGCCACCCCCAAGCATCTAAACTCCTTACTGTGTCTGTACCTCGGAGCCTTTGCCCATGCTGTTCCCCCTGCCCCCAGTACCCTTCCATCCGCTTCCCTTGGTTGCATCCCCATAAAAAACTCCACATGCGGCTGTTACCCCTGGAGGGCAGATACCTGGTCAGTCTTGCCACACCTCCACAGTAGGTGCCCTGGGAGGGGCTTGTAGAAAGGGGGGCTGTACAGTGGGGGTGAGCATCACTGGCAGAGAGGTGAGTGCAAAACACAGACCTGGGTTCGAATCCCACTCCTGGTACTCCCCGGGCCTCAGTTTTCTTATCTATGAGCCATACCTCTTGTGCTGTTGTGAGGTCTGGCAGAGGCAGACTGACAGCTGTGTTCTCCCTGCAGGTGACCACCATGTCCGTGAGGGTACGGTTCCTGTCCTCGGGGGACACAGGAGCTGTGGGGGTCGTGGGCCGGAGCGCCTCCTTCGCAGGGTTCAGCAGTGCCCAGAGCCGGAGGGTCTCGTAAGTTTTATCCCCGCAGTGGGTGTGGTGGGGGCAGGGCCACTGCTGATCCACCCAGGGACCCCAAGCTCACTCTCATGCCTGGCTTACAGCCTACAGAGCGTTCTGTGTGTGTGTGTGTGCATGTGTAGTGTGTAGTCTGTGTGGTGTGTCATGTGGGGGTATGTGTATATGTGTGTGTGGTATGTAGTCTGGGGTGTGTGTGGTGTGTAATATATATGGGTGTGTGTGTGACTCGGTGTAGAAAGAAACCTCTATTTTCCCAAACAGGTATAGTCCACAAGCTTCTACAGTTGGTCCTTGAAGTCCATTTGCCTGAGCTCCTCTCAGCCTAGTTGGCAGATCATAGCCAAGGTCATATAGCAGAACTGGTCCACTTATTCCAGCTCTGTGACCCAGGGCGAGTGGCTTCACCTATCCGAGCCTTGGAGCCTCGGTTTCTTCATCTGAAATGGGGGTCTGAATGTTCCTTCCTGGAGAGGGTTAGGTGGGGCATAGCACACAGCTAGCATGCAGTAGGTGCTTGGGGGATGTGTTCATGGAGAAGGAGTGGCCTCCACAGAGCCCAGCCTGGAGGTCAGTGTGGCCCTGTGTGTGTGTGCGTGTCGGAAGGTGCTGGTGGGTCCCCGAGTCTCCTGAGTCCCTGGGATGAAGGCCAGGGTGGGGTAGGTCAGTCAAGTCTGCCCATCTTCCTGCCTTTAGCCTGGATGGCCCAGCCCCTGGCTAGTTGTTCTAGGAAGCCGGTCCCTGGGGGAACCGCCTGCCAGCTGTCAGGGTTGGGGTGGGGCAGCTTTCAGGCTGGTATCCAGAGGGGAACCAAACATCTGCCTGTCTGAAGTGGGAAGGTCAGGTGGACGTCCCTGCTTGGGCAGGCCAGATGAGCCAGCAGCAACCAAGTTCCCATCTGGCCATGTCCCATTCAGAACACAATCCAAGCCCCTCCAGGGCCTGTGGCCCACTGACCCCCAATGGGGGCCTCACCCTTTTCCCTGGGCTCCAGACATAGGGACCTTGCTCCATGCTAGGCCCTCTTCCTCCACCTAGGATGTTCTTCCCACTCCTGCACTGGCCCAAACCCAAATCCACTGTCATCCATCCCTTCTGACTCACAGTGACCCCACAGAACAGAGGAAAACTGCTCCTTAGGGCTTCTGAGGCTATAAATCTTTACAGAAGCACACTGCCTGCTCTTTCTACTGAGGAGCAACTCGTGAGTTTGAACTGCTGACCTTTCAGTTGACCAATCTGCCAGCAGGGTTCTTCTCCACCTACCTGATATCCCTTCATCATCATCCAGACTTGGCTTCAATGCCACGCCCAGGATGTGAACAATTCCGGCACGTTTACCTAGTGCCAGGCCAATCAGGCCTGACATGTACCGGGAGGAGACGGCAGCTGAGGGTGGCAGCACCTTGAGGAAGCCCTGATTCACCCCCCAAAACATCCACGGAGCCCTTCTCTGCCCGGGCCCTGTTCAAGCCCTGGAGCCACCCCAGTGATGGAGAAGAATCGCAGGCTGCCCTTCGGGGTGACAGTGCTGTCGGGCAGCAGACCCTAAGCAAACAGCGGTCAGTGTCAGTCCAACTGGTGGAAAATGCTTCAGAAGGAATAAGCAGCAGGGGATGGGGTGGGGTGGGGGTGCAGAGGTCGGCTGGGGTCCCTGGAGCAGTCTGTCTGAGTCAGAAGAGAAGGAGTCATTGTGTGAAGACCATTGTCGGTGGGGAGGCCATCCAGGCAGAGGGGTGTAAAGGTCCTGGGCTTTCAGGGACAGAGGGCAATGGTCAGGCCAGGTGAGAAGATGACCTACGTTCCTAGTGTGATGGAACCATGGAATGGCTTAAGTAGAGGAAGTCAGTGCTCCCACAGGAGTAGAAACTTGGCCCAACCCCCAGGTTAAGCCAGAGTCCAGTGCCCAGTGTCCTTGGCTCTACACCTACTGGGTTCTGAGGCAAGTGTGAATGTCACTGACCCTTCAGGGCACACAGGATGTTCTGTCACTGCAGTGACCACCCCGGGGCCACCCTTCTGGGCTGCAGTCTGGTGGGAGCAAGTTTTGGAAAGAAGAGTGTGTGAGTGAGGGAGCTAAAGAAGGGCGTGTAAGTGAAGTCTCAGAGGAGGGAAAGAGGGGTTGCTGATCTTGGGGTTCCCCTGGGTCTACCTGCTCTCAGGCCCCATCACTGGGCTGCTCTGTGCTGCTATGCAGGTCACCTGTGTGCCCTGGTGAGGGGCTGGCCCATGAGAAGGGTGATTTTTTCTATTTGCACAGAGGTACTGCAGGGACAGTGTGTGGCAGGAAGGGGGGAGGGTCTGTAGATTCTGCGGTCAGGGCTGGCATCTCAGGCCTGTGACCTGGACCCAGAAGGACCTGCTACTTGTTTGGTACTTCACTGTGACTATCTCTCCCTGTAGACTCCCCATCTCCCCAAACCCCCCAGCCAGGCCTTCTGAACTGCCCACATCCAGGAAATGTCCCCTGCAGCCTGCTTTCCTCCTGGAATTCCAGGATCGCTACTTGGTGTTAGCAGCTGGGACAGATGGGATCTGCCCCAACACTTCCCCATCAGGCAACAGCAAGAGCAAGAATCAGGCCCTGAAAGCCCACGTCAAGTTCAGGGAGAGACCAAGGTGGCTGTCAACAGACTGGACCCTTTCAGGGTGGGCTCCACAGGGGTGGGGGACATGGTGTAGGCATTTATGAAGCATGTCTGGCTGAGCTGAGCTGAGCTGAGCTGAGGCTCCACATGGACTTCAGCTGGCCTCATCCACTTTAGGCCCCTGGCCCACAGGTGAGGCAGAAGCTGCCCAAGACAACAGAGAAGAAACCAGTCTATTTTTAACCTACCATCTCAGACTGGCTCCCCAGGGGACAGGGCCCATGGCACTGGTGCTGAATGGCTTGGATTGGGTTTCAGGTTTCACCTTCTGGCCTTACTTCCCAGGTAACCCAAGCAGGTGAAAACAGCCATATTGCCAAGGTAGGTCAGACAAAATAATATTGACAGGGAAGCATGGCTCCGCTCACATGGGGTGCATGGATGCCTCCTTTGTCCCCCAACTATCCCTCCCCAATGCTGGGACCCTTATCTCTGGACAGGGCTTCTGTTCAGAGATGACCTCTGGAGGAATTTCATACTAAGGAGTGAATGGTTGCCCGGGAGCTGGATTTGTGGGCATGAGGAAGCCCTGAGTGGTTGGGAATCTGGAGGGGGGAGAACAGGGAAGATTCTGGTTTGACTCTGGCTGGGCAGAGCCCTGGCTATGTGACCTCAGATGCCTTAGCCCCTTTCTGCCACTCCTCAGTCGGGTCTCTTCTCCCCCAGGGATCAGACAGGTACCTTTGAAGATTAGAAGAGCCAGGGCTGCGTCCTCAACTGCCCCTGAATGCCTCTGTGTGGATGGCTGGGAAATGTGGGTATGCAAACCATGCCATAGCCCTCGGCTTCAGGAGGAGGAGCCTGGGGAAAGAGAGGCCTTCATACGGTAGCCCACCACAGGAGGGGGCCAAGGGCACAAATTCTGGATCCAGCTGTGAGTCTCCTAGCCTCAGTCTCCCCTTCTGTAAAAGGGGGCAGTTTTCAAGGACTTGCCATGGGAGCAGATGGTTAGCACCCGCAGCTTGGACATTAGTGCCCTACGTGTTTGCCATTGTCACTAACTGCCTCGTACGTACAGACACCAGGATAGATGGCTGCTCACGGGATCTGTGCTGGGTCCTCACCTGAAGGTGTTGGGCAGGTGCAGCCTGGGGCAGGAGGTAGATGCGGACCTTATTGTCTGGCAACAGAGCCAGGTCTCCAACATGATGCAGGAGGACTGCCCTGGCGGGTTCACGTGATGGCTGGGTGGCACGTGTTTATCTGGAGGCTTGTCTGGCATGTCAGGGGTTGTTTAATATTTACTGAGTCCACCCCAGAATGGGTGAGACATCCACCCCCAGAGGCTGTTCCCTGCCAGCTTCGGTGACACCCAGGCCAGACATGTAGCCTAATTTCACCATCCTCAGGCCGCACGCGCATTGCTGAGTGGCTGGCACACCTGCCTTGTTGAGCCTTGGTCCGGAGCACTGGGCTCAGAGCTGCTCAGAGCACCTTGACCAGGCAACTCGAGGAGGCCTCCAGGTGGATGGGAGGGGCCGGGCTGGAAGCCTGCACCTACCAGGGACAGTGGGCTTTAGCAGACGGCAAGTGAATACCTGCCCGCCCCACCTGCCTGTCTGCCTGCCGTCTTCCCACCAGGACCCCAGCAGTCAGGAACCCCAGCTCCCCCAACAGGTGGCTCCCACTCTCCTGGAGATGGCAACTCTGCGTAGGGCCTGGTCCAAGAGGTGGGTAATGGTGTGGCCTCAGGGAGGGTGCAAGGAGTAGGGAGCAGAGCCCCTTCTAAAGCTCTGGAAGACAGACCCTCTGTGTGACCATCACTGGGAGGTTGGACGGCTGAGGGGATGCACCAGGCTGTGCTGAGCACTTTATGTGCATGGCCCGTGCTCAGACACCCCCTGGTTGGGCAGCCTTTTCCATCCCCACTTCCATTCGTTTACCTTTGTCCTTGGCACCTGGCCCTAACGGATGATGCTCTCACCTTTATTAAACTTAGACACGTATTCCACACTTACCGTGTGCCCCAGTGTCTAAGCCCTTCACACTTATTAACTCGTTGAATCCATCTAGCAGCCTAATGTCTCTCCCCTAGCCCCATTTTATGGATGAGAAAACTGAGGCACAGAGAAGCTCACTAACTTCCCCTTGTTACTCAGCTTGTAAGCAGTGGGACCCAATACAGATCCTGGTGTCTGATTCTGAGCCTGGGTTGTTACCATCTCGATGGTCTCCCCAACTGACATCTCAGCTCACAAGGACAGGGGACTATTTGGGCCACAGTTCTATTCCTGAATGGTGGTTGGCACACAGTGGGTGCTTAGTAGATATTTGTTGGATGAATGAATAGCTTGTGAGAATCCCACGAGGCAGGTATTCTTAACTATGCCTTGTTTACAGAGAAGGAGACAGAGGCTCAGGTAGGTTAAGTGCCTTCATCTGTGGGGCTGGGATTTGAACTTGTGTTCCAGACCACTAGAGGGTATGGTCTCTCTTGAGTGCTCAGGGTTCCAAATCTTCCTAGGCTTCAGCATTCTCTGGGGCTCAGTGCCTGGGGACCTGTATTTGGGCATTTGGTTAGGGAGTCAGCTGTGTAGCCTCGACTCTTGGTCCCCATAAGCTGGGGTGGGGAGATGACTCCTCTCGGGAGGAAGCAGCCATGTCTACCTGAGCTCTTGGGGACTGTACTGGGGTATGACAGGTCCAGTGGTCCTTCTCTTGGGTCCTGCTGACTGTTTCACTTCTTACTGTGAACTGTGAGTCTCTGAAGATGAGACCCAGGCCCCGTGACTTCTGATGTGGAGGCTGACATGGGGAAAGTCAGGCTCTGTGAGTTCTGTGTGAATGGATGAATTCAGTGCCTTTAGTTTTTTTATCTTAAAAGTGTAGTTGACTCTGAAGGGTTCTGGGAACAGCGTAGCAGGGTCCCTTTAGCAGGGGACACCTCCCCAGTGAAGCTGAAATGATGACTCCCCCAAAGCAGACTTAAAGGGCTGAGGGACTCAGCTGACATTGCTGGGAGACCTAAGTTCTCGGTGTTATCCAGTGCACACTCTCAGCTCCAAGTGGTTTATGTGAAAAAGAATCCGCTGACTCATGTAACAGAAAAGCCCATCTGCATGCTAGCGTTCAGGCACAGCTGGATCCAGGAACTCATTGTCATATAGTTTTGTTTGACTCCATCTCTACTGCTCTGTTTCCGCCTGTGTTGACTCAGGTGACTGTTAGAAGTTCCAGGTGTATGTCCCCACTTTAGCGATGCCAGTAGAATCTTCCTGTGACTCCAAATCAGACTCCTGGCTGATTACTGGCTGATCTGGGTCACATATGTCTCCTTAGACAAAGAGTGGACTGTTTAACTAAAGTCTAGGACATGGGTTTGTTCAGAGTGCCTGTGTATGTGTGTGCATGTACACGCAGTGACTTGTATGTACATGTGTGCATGAGTGCACAGTGACTTATATGTACATGTGTGTATGTGTGTGCATGTGCGCTCAGTGACGTGTATGTACATATGTGTATGCGTGTGCAGTGACTGGCCAAGCCACCTCCCCTCTTCCCCCAAAAAACCACTCATGTGAAGAGAAGGACCAGGTAGCTGCTCCAGAGGAAAATCTAGGTGCTGTTAACAGGGGAAATGAGATTGGACAGACAGCGAATACGAGCCCACTTCCCAGTCAAACCTGGGGCTATCATATGACCTCCCACACAGCTTTGCCTGCAACCGGAACATGGTAGCATATGATGTGTTTGATTGTATTTCTCACTGTAAATTAACTTCTGACATCAGGTGCTTATTATTATTTTATTCCTCAGACCCAGTCTGTCCCTGCATTTTCTGCATGGAAAAGCTAAGGCTGTCATGGGCTCAGTAGCTCCCTGAGACTCTCGAGCTTGGTGGCGATGGTACTGGGACTCAGCTTGGAGCTCAGACCACTTCTCACAAAAAGCCTTCTCCCAAGACAGTGGAGACTTGGCCCTGACACTGCTCCTGACCCCTTGCCTCCTCTCTATCCCATGTCTTCTCACAGAAAATCCACCAACAGGAACTCCGTACGATTACGGATGCAAACCAAACCTTCCAGAATGTACAGCACTCTGAGAAAGGGCTCTGTCTGCCTGGACCCCAAGCCTCAGCAAGTGAAGAAGATCTTTGAAGTATTGAAGAAGGGTCTCAAGTAAGGACCGGCTGGTGGTGGCTTATACGGGTGTCCTGTGTCTTGCTGGATTCCCTCTCTGCCTCTCCTGTGGGTCCTGTCTGTAAGCAGGAACAGAGGGAGCTCTGGGTTGTTTGTGTTTTCAACAAGCATGTCCTGGGTGCAACCAGAGGTGCTGTGGACACAGTAGGGATAAGACACAGGGGTGAAAAGAGAGAAGAACCTCAGATCAGAGAGACCATTTCTCTCCTACCTCACCCTGACTTGCAAATGGGGCAGCTGATTCCCTAAAGAGGAACTCCCAAAGTTGATGAAAAATTTAAAGCCACCTTTTGAACAAAATGGTTTTCTAAGTATGTATTCTTCCTTAACTTAAAAAATTATAAAAATGCAATGAAGGAGGAAACTGTCTGCATGGTCCAGCAAAGCAATCTCTAAAAATGTTACATTTATCCTAAATACTGGGATTTGGAGTGTGAGAAATTATGCTTTTGGATTGACTTTGGATTTTGAACCAAGTGAGAGAGATCTGGAGGCTAGCCTTTTTGGAAGCTGGGCTGCAGGAGACAGCCCCAGAGCTGGCGTCTGTTTCCTTCGCCCTCAACAATGCGGACTTTACTCTCCTTCCCCCCGGGTGCCATCTGCCTGGGGGTCTGTCCTCCCATCTGAAAGGGAGAAGGAAGGGACAGAGACATGTGCTCACCAGTCAGACACACCGGGCATCACAGTCAGAGAGCAGTGAGTGATGGCAGGGGAGTGAGCCCAGAACAAGCAGGCCCAACACTGCCTTCTAGTGGTGAGTCCAGCAACTGTGGTGGTGAGGGGGATGCTGGTCCCAGGACTGGATGCTAGACTCTTGCTCCCTCAGTCTCTTTCTAGGTCTGACTCTCGACTCTCTTCTACCATTTCTCCCCATGCCATATATGCCCAGTGGTTGAGGAGCCAGAATTCCAAGCTGGTTACCACAATGCATAGAGTACAAGTTGGCTGGCTCTGAGCGTAAGCAGACTTAGCCGCTTTTTACTGCTCAAACACACTACAGCATCCTGATTCTCCACCACTCTTGCCTCCTTTTTCTTGTGTGACTAGAGCTCTGAATCAAGCCCACCAGTTATAGCTCCTCAGAATTTCTCAACTCTGTCCTTTCGTCTTCCTGCTGGCTTAGCTCCTTCCTCCCATGATGCTCCTTGCTGCTCTCACAGCTTGGGACTTCCCATTCCTCCCATCCCCTCTCCACCCTGTTCATCCCTCCTCTGCTAAAGTCTCGTCCATGGCTCCCTTCTGTTTTGGGGAGGACATTCGAGGTCCTTCTATAAATCTGACCTTCAACCTTTCTAAACTTTTCTCTCATCCTTCACCCCATCTTTCTTCCTGTGTCTGTGCTCTGCTTTTGCTGAACAGCGCCCCCCACCCCCAACAGTGAGGCACAGCCGGCTTGAGCTCCTCCACCTCTTTACTCCTTTCTCATAATAGCAATAGCAGTATTGCTGCTAAATGCTGTCTGGTTCACATTCATAGAGATCCTGCATAGGGTTTCCAAGGAGTGGCTGGTGGGCTTGAAACGCCAGCCCTGTGGTTAGCAGTCCAGTGCTTACCCTACAGTGCTACACTAGCAGCAGTGTTGTCGTAGTTAAGCGCTGTCGAGTCGGTTCTGACCCATAGAGACCATGTACAGGTTTCCTAGGAATAGCTAGTGAGGTTGAACCCACCGACCTTGCAGTTCAAACAGCTTTGCAGTCTGGCACATTAACCCACAGCGCCACACCAGGACTCCTACACTAGCAGCATTGGGTAGTATTTCCTCAGGACTTATGAGTGCACCTTAGGAGAACAGTACATGAAAGACTATGTTAGCTTCCTTTCCCAGGCAAGCAAGCTGAGTCCCAAAGATGGGAAGCAACTTGTGTAGGATCACATGGCCAGGAACCAAGAGTGTTTGTTGTTGTTGTTAAGTGCCATCGAGTCAGTCTGACTCATAATAACCCTATATAGGGTTCTGAAGAGTGACTGGTGAGCTTGAACTGCCAACTTAGCGCTTCAAATGGACCTTGGAGTTCATCACATTAACTTGCAGTACCACACCAACACTTCAACCAAAGATGGTTGTTGTTAAGCGCTGTCGAGTCAGTTCTGACTCATAGTGACCCTGTATAGGGTTTCCAAAGAGCAATTAGTGAGTTTGAACTGCCGACCTGCGGTTCAAACCAAGGTAGGATTCCAAAATAAACTCAAACCCGCTGTCTGTTTTGATTATAAGACAGAGTAGAACTGTCCCAGAGGGTGTCCAAGGCTGTCATCTTTACAGAAAGAGATGGTCACATTTTTCTCCCCAGGAGCAGCTGGTGGGTTTGAACTAGCGACCTTTTGGTTAACTTCAGGGTCAACACTGACCCTTTCTGCTGTCCCAATTGGGGTAGATACCATCTCCCTTCCCTCTCCCACCACAACCCCTTCTACGTTGTCATTCCCACATTAGGAGGTGCCCTCGTCCTCCTCATATTGCACCCTTGCCCTGTGTCACTGCAGAGTGGGTGCTGGGTATATGGAAGGTGGGTGCCTACACCAGGGGTGTCACCTCTCAGGGTAACTTCTTGCTCTGGACGTGCTAAGCAAGCATTGTCCTGGCAAACCTGTCCTTTTCATGTTTGCAGTGTTTTAAGTGGGGCCCAGAGTGGTGACCTAGCAAATCCATTCTGGAGCAGGATGGGGCCCCCAGATCCAGATCCTGTGCTTCCTGTCTCCTTAACTGGAAAACGTAATGTAAAACCCTCCACCAAGGCCACGGCTTCCTCTGTGTAGTCCAGAATAGGTTCCCAGACCCTCTCTCTGATTCCTGGCCCAGAGCAAACCCCAACAGGACCATTTGTTCTTATCACGAGGAGCGTGCTCTACGCTGACATCACAATGGGTTTGAGAGGGGTTGTAACATGGAGGTGAAGGTTGGGGCTTCTGGAGGTCCTGCCTGGTTTCAGACCCTAGTTCAGCCTCTTCCCTGCTGGGGACCACAGGAGTCACTAAGGGAGTGGGGGTGCGGACCACACTTGTTTATATTGTCAGTATTGTTGTTAAGTGCCATCTCGTCAGTTCCGACACATAGTGATCCAGTACAGGGTTTCTAAGGAGTGGCTGGGTGAGTTTGAACTGCTGACCTTGTGGTTGCAGCACTGTGCTTATCCTGCAGAGCCACACTAAGACTCCATTGTTAGAGTGGGTGACAGTAAAGTGACTGTTCATGAAATTTTTGTGCAGTATTTCAGCAGAAACAGTTTTATTTTTTTTAATAAAAATATTTCTATAGTTATATTCTTCTAATTGTATAGGACTGAAAGGTTGGTTTGAACCACAAAGTCAGAGGTTCAAACTCACCAGTGGCTCCTTGGAAACCCTATACTTGGTCGTTATGAACTTCATAACAGCAGAATGTTTATAATAACAGTAGAACCTGCTAGTAGATGGTTTTGGGAATTGACCGAGAGCTTCCCTGTGGCTGATTGTTGAGTACTGGACATGCCCTTTGTGTGTGGGAGCTGGAGGCTAAGTAAACAGAGGTAGGGTTTGCGGGTGGTCGCCTCTGAGCAACTTAGACCCACAGCCGCGGCTGCCATGCTGGAACACTGGTCACCTGGGCTGCCTCTCCGATTTCAATGTCAAAGCTCCTTTCCTGGCTCTCCTCACAGGGAGCACCTGTGTGTCCAGCAGGCGGAATTGGATTACCTGTCAGGACGCCACAAGGACACCCGCAGGAACTCCAGGCTGGTGAGACCCTGCCCCTTCCCTTCCAGGCAGACAGTCTTGGGATCATTCCGAGGTGGCTCCCCCTTCACCCACCTGTATGCAGCATGGCTGTGAACCTCAGTCTCAGACCCCTGAGACTAAGGAAGAGACTTCTAGACCTTGTGATCAATGAACCTAACTCTGACTCTGACCCTGACCTGCAGACTGGAGGGAACCTTCCTGCATCACTCCCACACCTTCCCTGGTGCTACAGCTCAGCCTTACTGCCTGCCTCCCCTTCTCTCTCTTGGCTCTAGAAGTAATCGAAGGTCAGCAAGTATTATTGTTATTAAGTGCTGTTGAGTTGGTTCCATCTCATAGTGACCCTATATAGGGTTTCTGAGGAGCAACTGGTAGACTTGAACTGTCAACCTTGTGGTTAGCAGTCCAGTGCTGAAATGTATATTCTGGTGGCCCTGTTTGCTAGATAGACCCCGGCCATCATGGGCAACCTGCAGGTATGGCCTCTCATGTAGCTTTAAGAAAAATGATCAGGTGTGGCATCTTGCCATTCTCACAGTGCCCCTGTCCCTGTCCTTGATTGAGGCTGCTCATTCCCCTGCGTCCAGCTGTTCTGTCGTTTTCTGTCCTCTTGGTAGGTGGTGGAGGAGGTGGACAGCGTCCACAGCCCAAGGCTTGCCTACTCTGGATTTTTGCTGTTGCCCCTCAGCAGAGCCAGATATAGTGAAACAAAAGCCAAAACCCTAAAGGAAAAGAAAAAAAATCCAGTTATGTCAATTTAAGGCAAATTTTAGATAAACAAATAGTATTTTGGCATCAGTGCATGAGATGGGCTGACATATCAAAGGTGGTGACAATGCGGGATGGGACATGTTTCTTTTGGTTATACATAAGGTCCGAGCCCTGGTAGAATGAATAGTCGTTACACATTAGGCTACTAACTGCAAGGTCAGCGATTCAAATCTACCAGCTGCTCCAAGGGAGAAAGATGAGGCTTTTTGCTCTGTAAAGATTTACTATCTGGGAAACCCTATACAGGGTTGCTATAAATTGGAACTGACTCAACAGTGCATAACCACTACCACCACTTATGAAGTCATGTTGTGGTGCTGTAGGATCAGCACTGGACTGCTAACTTCAAGGTCGGTGGTTCAAAGCCACCAGTTGCTCCTTGGAAACCCTATATAATAAGGTCGCTCTGGGTTGGAACTGACTCAAAGGCATTTAACAATTACAACAAAGGTCTGATGCTATGCCAACTAACAACAGCAGCATTATTTGGGACATACTTATACTAAAATATTATTGACTGTTTATCTGAAATCTACGTGTGACTGGGCAGTCTGTATTTTATCTGGTAACCCTACCTCCCTGCTCAGCGTGGGCACAGCAGACTCCTCCACACCTTCAGCCTCCTTTCTTCCTGCTACAGCTTCCTTGTGAAAACCCCACCTCTCTTTAATACAATTAGACTTCGGAAACAAAAGCCAGGACTCACCTGGTTACCTGGCTGTGGGACTCTCCACCCAACAGCTGCCAGCATCCTTCCTCCAAAGCGCCTGTTTGATGGGGAGCTGGGAAAACTGAGCATTTCTTCATCAGGGGATCATCTAGCCACCTGTTACCCCGGTTTGGGGGATAGGACCTTACCTCAGGGATTGGGCGCAGTGTGAGGTACAGGGCCCCTGCCTCAATCATGTACCAGCTAGGAGAAGTAAGGCCGGGCCGATTCAGCCTGGGTGGCTGGGATGGGTGGGAGGCGGGTGAACCAGAAGCAGATGGTGGAAGGCGGTACTGCCAAGATCCCAAGATCGTGTCCTGATTCCCAGCCCTGCCTCTCACCATATGTGGGAGGGACTCTTCCCAACACCCACTGCAAACTTTTCACACCCCTCTAGAGCACAGGGTTCTCATACCTCAGCACCCCTGCCCTGCTCTCTCCCTTGGTTCTAAGGTAGGCTAGGGTTAGCTGCTCCTATTTCATGGATGTGTACACTGAATCCTGGGGCAGGTGGCAACTGTGTTGGGACCACACAGCGAGCTGATAATCAGCCTGCTTCCCAGCCTGCTGCTGTCTCTGAGTTAAGCAGGAAGTTGATTTCTCAGAGGTCTGTGCAATCGCTCCTCTTTTCAAACGCTTGGCACCTTCCCGTTTCTTTCTTTCTTAAATGGAATTTTCAGAAATGCACCCATGAGAGAAGAGACTTTTGTGGAGTTTAATCATTTCATTTTCCATCAACACCCTCTCCCCAATTTTCTCTGTCCCATCTCATTTAACTCTTATTTGTCCATATGTTCTCCTCTGGTCACAGAATCATTCAGAAGTACGTATAAAGGTATAAAGAGGCTTTGGGTCACTAGTTAAGAAAATGAAATCACAATTTCTATATTCTCCCATGCCTTGCTTTCTTGTGGAAATCCTTCCAGTCTCAGATATGTTGATTCTAATCCAGGGGCTGACAGTCACAGCCCCTGTTGTAAATAGATGAACCTGGGTGGTGCAACTGGTTAAGCACTTGACTGCTAACCAAAGGTTTGGGGGTTCAAACCCACTCAGAGGCATTTCTGAAGTAAGATGTGGCAGTCTGCTTCAAAAGTCCGCAGGTATTGAAGACTGTCGAGCACAGTTCTGCTCTGATAACCATGGACTTAAGGGCACCTCTTTGTTTGTTTTTTAAGTTTTTATTGTGAGGTTTACATGGGAGAACATCAGCTTTACACTCATCCTATTGTATTTTGTTTCATTGCAATGATTATAATCCCATCCATGCATCACCAAACAACCAAAGGGTACATCACAGAGAGCTGATAATCGGCACCACGCCCCCCCTGCCGTCAGCACACAGCCCTGCTCCCTCCCTGAGTCCAGTGTCACCAGCTGCTCCATCTGTCCACATCATCATCTCTGTCTCCATCCCTGGTGTCACTGCCTCTCTGGATAGGGTCCCGCACTCCATTCTTCTCACTTGATGGTCCCAGGGACCTCCACTCCTGGGTTGCAAAATCAATCACTCCCTTCTTTTTGTCAAAAAACATCTACCTCTCTATTTCCTACCCTCATAGTCAGTCCTGATGGCAATTATTTACTATTGTACCACAAGAGTCTTATCCCCATTTCCTTTCGCCAGCCCGGACCCAACAGATTGGAAATCATTCAGTGGTGATTCTACCTTCCCCCACCTCGTCTGGAACTAGGCTCCCTCTTGAAAGCTTGTAAGCCAGTCACTTCTTGCCTTTACAGGCTCCCCCATTTTGGGTAGCCAATGTCTAAATTGCCCATCCCTGTCAACCCTGTGTACCGAGGGGGTGGAAGTGATCCTCGCTGTTAAGATTTGTTCCCTTTTTTGAGCTACTACATCCATAAATAAGGAGATCTGGTAGCGTAGTGGTTATGAATCGGGCTGCTAACCTCAGGGCCAGCAGTTTGAAACTACCAGCTGTTCCATGGAAGAAAGATGAGGCTTTTTGCTCCCATAAAGATTTACAGGCTTGGAAACCCTGTACAGGGTCGCTATGAGTCGGAACCGACTCCACGGCACACAACAACAATAACATCCATAAGTATAGGTTAAGTTCATCAAATTGTAGTGGGTTACTCTTCCCCCGCCCCCCCTAGTCGAGTTCTGATCATCCAGCCATCAAAGCCAGGTCAAGTGGGTACTGTCTGCAAGTATGGGTGTTCTTATGCCTCTCCCCTCACTTCATATCAGCTGGATGCTTCACTCTCCACTTTAGTCTTCTGTGGCCATGTCACTGCCTCTGGGCCCAGGTGTTTCC